AAAAAAAAAAAAAAAAAAAAAAAAAAAAAAAAAAAAAAAAAAAAAAACAAAAAAAAAAAAAAAAATAAAAAAAAAAAAAAAAAAAAAAAAAGATGTTTGCGTAGCAATAAAGCCCTTCTTTTTGGATTCAAACACGGCCTCTGTTGTGTTGCGTGCTCTACCACTTGGTCTTTTCTTTTTTTGTCAGGGGCCCAGCTCCTGCTTACACTTATTCTAAGTTTGAAATTCTGCATGGGACTGATGATCTCATGTGTGGTGACTTATGTTTCTCTCTTATTCAGCATCATCATTGGGTGTTGCCGTCACAGCTCTTCATGTCGAGTTGTCATTGTGAAACGTGGCTCTCTAACCAGCGACGGAAGGATGGCCTAGTATCCTGCAGCTTTTGGCACAGCTGCTCTGCGCGGTTATGAAGAATTGCAGAGAAGTATTTGGTTGGTCCGTCAGCAGAAAACATAGATCATTGGTGTAAGCAGATATTGTGCGGGGCATCTTTTCGAAGTGAATTTCCCACATTTGACCTGTTGAAATGTAAAATGTGTTTGACATGTTTCCTTTTAACTTTGCCCTCTCTTATAATTCTCTGCAGGCCTCACTGCGTGCTGCTGGGCTCGAAGGGAACTCTGCTCCGGAAGCTGGGAGCGTTCGGAGTGGCAATACAGCTGGAGAGTCGTTTGGTGCTGGAGTTACAGTAGGGACTCCACTTTGTTATATCTGCATGATGCCTAAGAGGCAACTTTAGTTTTTGACAGACACCATTTTTTTGTATTCTCTACCCATTTAAAGAGACATAATTATACTGAATGTTCAGGTTTTGAATTAGTGTTTCACTGCGCCTGTAACATTTTTCACATGCTGCTAATGCTTCAAAAAGGCTATTTATTTGTCTCATAGCTTAGAGATGCTGTCCCTCCCCTTTAGCCCATCACCGTACAAATGTGTTCTGATCAACATACACGCAAAACCCTACAGGAAAGGGAAAACCCAAATCCCGCCTTTTATTTGCCTTTGCAATTTTTCCTTTATACCATTTAGGCCCCCGTCCACACGCTCGGCTTATAAAAAAATCTTCCACGCCTTCTGGGGCCCATTGACTTGAATGGTTGTGACGTCCACTTTGCCTCGCTTTTTCGGCCGAACTGCATTGTGGGGAAAGCAAAGCGAAGGTTTCCAGGATTTCAGGATTTTCCAGGATTCAAAAAGTTGAGCAATGTTTCAACTTTTGAAGCTGAGCTGGAAGGCGTCAGCCAAGTCAAATCCCGTTTATGCAAATCCTGACGGTACAAGCCCGGCTAGCCAATCAAACCGCTGGTGCAAGCTGTGGAGGAGCCAGACCGCGAGTTAATTTTCCTCATATTTCAAACGAGAATTTATGACGGTAGCAAATCACCCGGTTCTTTAAGACCAGTACTATTTACGGCGGGGGATACAAACCGGAGAGAACCAGGCATGGAGGGACGGTGGCAGAGACCAGTGGTGAGACTGGTAGGTTTTCGCCTGTTTGGGGATTTTATATCAGGTTTACTTCGTTTTAACAATTGCTATTGCTTTGTATGTCGGGGGCGGGAGATTCATGTGATTGGGTTGTTGGTCGCGCTTGCTCGCAAAAATCCCCAAACTTTCAGACACGCCCAGCTCCAAGATTTTCAAGATTTTTTCAAAAGCTGCAGTGTGGACGGCCCGTTTAGAAAGCAGCATTTCCCCCATGCTTTCTGGTTTTACAGTCACACTTAAACTCCGAGTCACTGTTCTCCCTGTCTGCGGCTGCTCAGGTCGAGTCGGTACTCCTTCACTTTATGGCTCCAGAGGCTGGTGAAGAGAGAGCCGTACGGCAAGCCGGGTGGTAGTGTGGGGGTGCGGAGTCATCCTCTTCATCCTCCTCTCCGGCTGCCCTGCCCTTTTCACGGCCACCAAGAGGAGCGATTGTTCGAGGCTATCATCAAGGGATGGTAATACTTATAGGGTATGAGCTCATTGACGGAGCTCGACGTCACTGTCCGTTGTGTTTCCGGCCGCCTGACGGCATCCACTGGACTCTACTGACTCTTCCAGCCGTTCTTTATCGCGACCTGATGGACCAGTGGTTTGCCAAATACACGTGGTCTAATAAAGTGTCCTCCGTATGTATGCGTGCTGTCTTGGGCTGTCTCACCTCGTGCAACCGATGAACCCCCGCCAGTTGGGGCGACATTCTGAGAGTCGCCAAGGAACCTGGTGAGATCGCCATTGCTGATGCTGGACGCCCGGCGAGAGGATCACCGTCTACGAGCCCTCAACCACCCCTGGCTGGAGGCGCGAGATTTACACACCACCACACACACACACCACACACACCACACACACAACACACACACACAAACACCACACACACACACACACACACACACACACACACAGACACACACACACACACACACACACACACACACACACACACACACCACACAACACACACACACACACCACACACACACACACACACACACACACACACACACACACACAGCTGCACGTAGTATCTGCTTTTTCAAAATAAATGCGGACAGTTGGTAACCAAGAAAGCGTACATAGAAATACATTAATCGTCAACAAGAGACGAGATTGATTTGTGACAGATTTTAAGGCGCTATGTAAGTGCAACACATAAAATCAACAAACACTAACAAAAAATATTAAATCCCGTGCTGTATATACGTATCAAATAAGGAGGTAAAGTCTAAATCCAAGACAATAATCAAACATGAATTATCCCTATTAAGTAAAAAAGGCTCAAACAAATACATTCACCTGAATTTAAGGATTATATTATAATTTGTTGCTTTTTAAAGTCAAGTCAAAATCACTTGTAAAGCACGGTATCGAATGAACACCAGACTTTATTCATATAGCACTCGTTCATACGACGACAGGTAAAACAAAGTGTGACTCCACCAACGGAAAATTAAGAAGGTACTGACCCCACTTCAACGCTTATAAACACATAGCTTTGTGATGAATAAGCATAATTCCAGTAGAAGTGAATATATCAAGATGAAGTGATTGATTAAAAATACATTAAAATCAATAGAAAACAAACTAAAGGGTGGGTATTGTGAATAGTTGACTTACTTTAATAGTGGTTCACACACAGGCACATTACCAAAACATTCACAAGAACTGTCAGCCAACACCACACCAAAACCAAATAAAGAAGAGTAACATGTTGTGTGGAATATTTCCTGTGGTCACCTTTAAACCACTTGCTCGCCACATATGCTGACACTAGAGCACTTCCTTCTGCTTTTGAACCACAGCTCTGCTTTCATATCTGTCCTGGAACAACTGCTTTAAAGGTCCCCCCCCCCTGTGTGTTTTCACCCTCCTCTTGAACTGATGTGAGTATCTGTGTTTGATGTGTGCAGGAGAGGGACAGGTACGCCTACAAGATCCACCTGCCTGAGACCGTGGAGCAGCTGAGGAAGTTCAACGGCAGGAGGAAGCTGAAGGTCAGCAGAACACAGACTCAGAGATTGAATCTGGTATGAGAGCAGGTGCAAACTCCTCCACAGTGTGCACCTGCTTTTCATGACCCAGATTAATGTCTGTCTCTTTAACAGCCCTCATATACAGACATGTGGTTAAAAAGGCTTGGTGTAAAAGCTGCTGTTCCCCTCTGTGGAACGCATTTCAGATATGCAACACTAAGCGGGCTGTGGCTCTTTCCTGCTGTAACGCTGCAACTTTCCCCTCTGTGGGACTAATAAAGGTATTCTGATTCTGATTCTGTGTGTCCCAGGGTGCAGTGCTGGCAGCCGTTTCCAGCCACAAGTTTAACTCCTACTACGGAGACCCTCCAGAGGAGCTTCATGACTACACAGATGACCCCACCTCCTCAGGTATATCCCACTAAAGAACTCTATTTTAGTTGCTAACCTCTACACACAATTTATTTTCAGATTGGGCTACCATAAATACAGTCATTTCGATGATTGGGTTTGTATGCAAATAAGAGTTAGTTCCCCCTGAATGTGGTCATCCACTGGTGTGCCATGTGAGGTCAAGGATGAAGCAAACATTTGCACACATTCACTTTTCAAGCTCTTTCTATTCTGGTGGTTTCTATTCTGGTGTGTTCTCCAGCTGTCTGTGTGGCGCTTCTTGTGTTTAGATGGAGACAGATGTTGCCTCACAGCCTCACTTCCCTGTCTCAGCCACAGACTTTCACTTCCTTTGAGGAAAAGAATGCAGGCAGTACCCGTCAGTAGTTATCAGCATGCGGAAACCACCGTTGTTATAAACTGTAGATGTAGACTACATCACCCCCTGATTAATTTGTGCAAAGCTCCTCACATCGTGTGCTGAGGTTAACGTGTAGCCGCTGCAGGTAGATGTGTCGTACGTCCATTCTGCAGAGTTGGCAGTCTGCTGCAGCTTCCTGGTGACCGGTTTCTCTTTGAATGTAGCCCCGTGGACCAGAGGAAGGCTTGTAGTGTATTGCAGTTATTGACTTTGTCTTCATTTCTTTATTGGAGACATACCCCATAAAGTAACTGTCTGGTTTTCATGTGAATTAATCAACAAAGGTTTAAAAACTGTTAGTTGTTTTTTTTGTTAGTAATTTTTTGAGCTTATTTTTACAATATTGTTTCAGTTTTATTTTTATAGTGTTTTTACAATATATAGTTATTTTTCTAATACAATGTTCACAATATTTTCTTCTAAAATGTATACAACATTTCTGACAGCATATATATTAAGGTATATTTCGAACTTTTCTTTACAATATTGTTCGGAGTAACTTTTCATGCAGTTTGTATCACAGTGTTGAGGTTAGTTTATATTAGCTTTAAAAGTGTCAGGCTTGACCGCAGAAATGCAACGACTCACGCGCTGTTCCATGGCCATTTGACCAGGTCATAATGAAATAGCTTTAGCTGTTGGGGGGCTAACGTTTTTTATAAATAAAAACTGCACGACAATATTTCCCTGAGCCCTTTAGCACTGCAGCCCCCTCATTGTGGGAGTCCCTGCTGTAGTCGCAGAGCTTTCCTAGTTTTGCTGCTTTTTGCGAATGTTCCTCTCTGATTTTCCCCTCTGCTCCTTTTATTGCCCCTTTGCTTCCTCGCACTGACTCTTTAGTGTCTCTGCCTGTTCTCTCTTTACTTTCTCTGTGGGTTGTTACATCTTTAGTTGCACTGCACCTCCTCTAATCTTTGTTTGGTGTTGTTTTTCTTCTGCCGTGCTGTCTGTAGGACTGCTAGCTGCTGAAAGTACGTATCCCTCTCCCCGCCTGCCATTAGACTCATGATTTGCAATATCATCATGACGCTTTTTAGCTGCATGTATCCCTCAGTGTTAAATGAATGGGTTATAATCCTGCAACATGGCTCCCTCTGTCTCCCTCTCTCCTGTCCGTCTCTGGAATTCTCTACTTTAACCCTAATTAGACCCTCCAGAAAAACGCGGGCAAAAATCCTTGATTATGCGATTAAACATGCGGGGTTTTTATGTGATTTTATGCGGTGAAATTGCGAAATATGCGGAAAGTTGCAAAAAAGAATAGATTTTTTTTAAAATATTGGGCTGTCTTATTTATTCTCTCTCACACACAACCTGCCACTAACGTTAAACCCCTTTCCTATTCAATTAAACAAATTCAATGTTTATTTATTGTAAAAGCAATTGGGCTTTTTTAATCTCACACACAGGGACGTAAAAAAGTGTGTTTCAACTCTTTCTTTTTTTCAATTGCAGCAGGAAATGCAGCTAGGTCAGCGCGTAGTGCTTACATTTGTTGTGACATTATCTCACTTTGCACTGCCCGAGTGTGCTTATACTCTTTTGGGTTCTTACTTTTTTAGATGAGATATTGTAAAAGAGATGATTTACTGGGCCCGTTTTCACCCCCCTTTGAAAAGACGGGGCACGTTGGACACACAACCTCGTATTCTTCTTTTAGCTGCCCCTGCTGGTGAAACTAGTAAGTTTGTAAGCTTTTACGAAAGACGACGACGCCTGTTCGCTTCCGTTTGTTGAGTGACGAGTGCTGCCGTTGAGTTGGGGTTTGGGGAAAGCTCCCCGAGTTCTTTGCTTCACTCACATCGGATGTTCTAACTTCGACCAGTCTATTGCTTGCTCATTATACTTTTGTCTTACTCCGCGCCTCTTCACACACACACACACACACACCCCCTCCCCCNCGTGCATCTGTTATTCCAAAGAGTATTTGATTGTTAGGCAAACGCAGACTCTGTTGATGTCGGGAAAACTACTGGTTTTATGGCTAAATATCTTAATGAACGTTTTCATTAAGATATTTAGCCATAAAACCAGTAGTTTTCCCGACATCAACAGAGTCTGCGTTTGCCTAACAATCAAATACTCTTTGGAATAACAGATGCACGTGTAGAGAATCATCCCATTCACCAAGAGGTGGACTGCTGGGCTAATGAGGGGATTTGAATGAATAATTACTGTGAGGCGTGACACACGAAAAAAATGTATAGGTGTTAATTACTTTAGGAAAATCTTGTTGCAGGTCTGTTTACATGCATCATCCAGTTAGAGAAAAATATTTTAAACACAGCCGTGAACAGATCAATAATAGAGTTAAGTACTGTATTTCTCTAGGAAATTAATCTCCTGCTCACAATTATTCTGCACCATCAGTTTGAAAGACTGAACAGTCAGTCAACTTATTACAGTCACCGTAATAAAATGTGCTGATGATGACTTGTCAAATGTGCTGCACTTTAAAATAAATGTTATACTCTTGTTTTGCTAATCGAAAAAAGTAACAATCACATTATATGTAGCAGACGGATTCTCGTGCATGGAATAATTACAGGTCAAAACGTAGCCTTAGCTAGACCCTCCAGAAAAACGCGATTCTGCGATCGCAGAATTTACCGCATAATCAGCAAAATGGCGCAGATTTTTAAAAGGCCGCATATTTATCAAAAGGCCGCATAATCCCCGCATTTTTCCACACAAAGTTGAGAAAAAAAAAAGTAAACTCGTCTTGACGTGACGTCATCAGCTCGCGCATCACAGAATGTAAACAACACTGTATAGAGTGAACGTGTGGAGCTCACACGATAGAGAAAACACCAAGATGAAAAAATCTAATCCATCTCATTTACCGACGAACATTTCTACTAAAGACCGGGCAAAAAGTGGGGGGAAACTATTCTGCACCCCGTGCAACTGTGTGTTGGAGCATAAGAGAAAATCGACGGGGACGACCCACTTTGATTCATTCAAACATTCGAAAATGCTTTCTGCTGCTGCGGACAAGAAAGCCAAACAACTCACGTTCACCGAGGCATCAACCTCCAAAACCCTTTCGAGGGCTACAAGAAACGAAGTGAGTAGCCTACAAGATTGAAGCTGGTCAGATAACGAACGAGTAAATGAAAACAGAACGGTTCTCCCACTTTTTGGTACGTCGACGATACCAGTTTAAGCGTGCCTATAATAATAATAATAAAAACCGTTATTTTATTAGTAGTGTTCTCGCGTAATTTTACAACATCAAAACCCCAGATTTAAATTGGATGGCCAAAGGAACCCACCGGAAAGACGTAGTGGAACAACCAAAAAGAAACCACCCGCCAGCCCCACGGGTAAGGACGTCCGTCCTATCGCCTTCAGTCGTCATCCCCGAAAGGTAATTTGTTTTACGGATGTTTCTAATTTCGGTTTTTTATATTTACTCTACTACCCCGGACAACCCGAAGACAAACATGAAACCTGTGTCCATCTGATTCATTGCCCTCGGAGTCGACAAGTCCTGTAAAATAATACGTAGTTTCACTAATATGTACCCCAGTTTTGCTGGATATTCGGTGTGGTCCGGAATGTCGACAATCAGCGGACGACTGAAATCCCGATTGCCAATCCGAAATCACCTTTAAATCAATTAATTTAATCAATCCTTGCCATTTTATAGTTGGGGGAGATCGAATACCCTATAGACGATAGCTAACGTTTTCTTGGTATTCGGTGTTGCGAAGTGTAAAAGCCGTTACTAAACTTGGGATTTGAACCAGCCCTGAAGGTGTCCGCCCCTCGGCGCGTGCACTAGCTATACTAATCCCCTGTTGCCGTAAATCCGCACCGAACACGCTTTCCAGGTTAACCCCGATAAATTAGAGTCGTGTGTGGTCGGGGGGGGGGCGTGTGTCGTGTGAAAGAGNGCAAGGCTGAATAAGTATTTGTGTCTAGTTGCCATATTTTTCCCGGGTTATCGTAGGGCTGCTCGATTATGGCAAAAATCATAATCTCGATTATTTGGGTCAATAATTGATATCACGATTATTAAAAACGATTATCCATTTACATTGAAAACATCCATTTATTGAAAAGAAAAATGTGAACAGTATGTTTTTAGCAGTTGATTACCCTGAACTTTAAGTGTAATTCAACTGAAAAACCAATAATTCTTTTTTTTTTTTTATAAATAAAAATAAAATAAATAATCGTTTTATTTCGATTATGTTGTTTTCATAATCGTTGCAAGCCAAAATCATAATTGCGATTAATTGAGCAGCCCTTTTCGTAATCAAAAGGTGGAGCCATTTTTGTATTCTTTATATAGCACTGCTGGATATGTTAAACAACAATTATCAGATACACAGTCAATATGTATACGTCATACTTTGGGGGGGTTGAGTATTTATGATTCATATGTCTTCTCTTTTTGGCAATATATGATAATAGTCTCTTTCATTTCCAACAAAAACAATGTGAATATACCACAAACACTGAGGCATAGCTTTTCAGGTGGAACCAAACACTTTGGTTATAACACATATTTGGTTCCCACCAAAGTTACACATGTACTGTAACAACTAAAGGTATGTGGGCTGGTAGTGTTGGGGAAAAGGTGTGAAAACTCCATCTCCTATTCAGACAATCACACCCCATATATATATTTTGAAACCAGCATCTTGTACGTGGGACTGATCAGCTGTGATGCTGGGTAAAAATAAGTTAGGGGTGAGGAGGTTAAGAAGGAAGACAATGTATAATAACAAACCCTAAAGTGGTTAACATGGTGCATGAGGGACAGACTTACTATTCAAAGACCATGTAGAGCATGCCGTCAGAGCTGTAGGTCTCCAGCAGCTCCACGATGTGCGGGTGCTTCAGCATGTGGCAGATACTGGCCTCTCGCTTCAGATCTACAAGAGACAAACCATACCATGAGACGTTACGTCAAATAATGTAATCAGGATGCAAAAAAAGGAACTGGATTTCCTTATAGTTACATAAACAAAGATGCCATCAGATTACTGACGCCTACTGCCTGAATCTGCTTTTTGGTTTCCACTTTCTTTGCTTAATTTGTACTTCTTTTATATTCAGTAGTTATTTATACATTCATAACATAGTGTGTGAGACCTTTTTGAACATTGAAGCATGTAACAGTAGAATAACAAAATACACATATACATTAGTTCACATTCACAAACTGCATGTGTTGCCTCTCTTTATCAGGTGCTGGTTAGCTGATGAAGCAACAGTACATCTCTCCTGCACTGAAACAATCTCCCTGATTTATCTGTTTCATTTTGCAGGGCTTTTTAAATGAGCTTCCTCTGCCGGGTCATTCAAGGACTTTACGTTCTCCGTGACAGCAGCAGCTCCGGTTTTAAAATGTCGGACTCTCCTTGTAGGGGTATTTGTCATTTCCAAAAACACTTGCTTTACATTATGCGGCTAAATGTCAACGCTGAGGAACAGATATGACTTTGGGCTGTTTCTACCCAAACATATGAGGTTCAACCGCCACCCTTAACGCTCTCTGCATTATTGAAGCCTTAAGCACCTGCCTTTTTCATATATCATAATGCATTCTTTATGCAAAGGTGGAATGAGGACAATACATTTATATAATTTAGAAAACATCAGATGACATTTAGGAGAGAAAGCTCCCTGATGTTCATTTCAAATCCTCACCACCAGAGGGCGTACAAAACATTTTATTTACACGTTTTCTTTAAACTTTAATACTGAGCACATAAGGTGAGCATGTTGGGCCGACAGACAAGCTGGTGTTTAGCAGACATACGCCAGATGTAAGGCCGCTACAATGCCAGTTTAATCGCACATTTAAATGCAGATTTGGCTAACAGAACAATTACTACATTGCTCTGTGAACTCTACTGTACTGACAAAACCTTATATAACAATACAGGAAAGGGAAACCCCAAAAAACATTATAGGGCCTCTTTAAACAAAAGGAAATAGTGAACAAGTGTTAGAAGAAGCTGCTAATAAGAGCTGACAGACATGATGTGCTGTTGTTGAGCTACTCACTCCATAAAAACCTCCTTTACACACTCCAGCCCCCATCTGCATGTCTACTGTTCTCAGTGTGTGTGTGTGCGTGTGCTCATTGTGTCGTGACAGACCAGTATCATTATGCAACAGAGAGAAATGTCCCCGCTACAGAGCCCCTATTCTACTGTTCCTTTGCTTTCATTATTCCTCCTCATCCTCAGCCCGTCTCATTGAGTGTCTATTCTCCAGTGTAACTAACAATGATGCCCAGTGTCCGCACCGCAGCGAGGAACCCTCTCAGAGAGCCAGAGGGGCCTGGAACAGCCTGAATGAAAGCAATGCCATTCACTGGGCGGGATCCAAATCAATTCTCACAGGGAAGGTGTAGGCTAGACTCCAGCTGGTAGATCATTCATTCTCATATAGGTGCAATCTTATTATAGAGTGATATCTGCAGGATAGGGTTTTCTCTGCACAACAATGCTGGAGAGTAAGGCCCACTTTATAATATGAATATGTGTACATAACGTAGTCAGGATACAATCATTTATTTCCTTACAGAATGAGAAGAATAAAGACCTTTTGAAACATTAAAGCATGTAAACATGTCACAGTAAAGCACAAAATAAAATACGAACCTGAAAATGAGCATAATTTGTTCTTTGAACCCATAAAGCTATAGTGTTTGCTCTCTACATTTACCTCCATTATATTCTGGTAATCCCGCACTCTGCTTTTTATCAATACTCTGCCCAATCTCTAAATTACACCATTAATCAAGTGTCGATCCACTCCCCTCACACACACAGATATATTCATACAGAACTTGTTTGTAACTCAGCTTTTGCTTCTTTTCAATGCTGACGCGGTCTCTTTTTTTTTAACAAGCTACGGTGTGTGTGTGTGTTCCCAGGATACCACTCTCCAGATCTGGCTTCACTCCAGCGCTCTACCTCTCCACTTTGAGTCCACTTGCTTCTTTTGTGACTTTTTTAAAATGTCAGCAATGTGTGAAAAAAAAAAAAAAAAAAAGGTACAGTTTTCTTCTATCCTCGGTTCAACTTTGACTGACTGGCTGAAACTCACCAAACGGGAATGCTGATGTGCTGCATTTTCAAATGTAATCTCTGAGTTGTGCAAAAATAGAGTAACTGTTATGTTTGGAATTGTCTTACAGCTGTCTAAATTGTCTAAAGGATAAATAAACTGATGTTTTTATGGAAAAAGAGTTATAACAAAAAAAGGAATTTTAAAGCCATTTGGTAGAAGATTTATATTTTTAAGTGAACACATTAAGTCTGAGTAACGAAAACATACATATGTACACCATTGTCCTTCATTTCCTTGTCTTGCTGTTATTGGCTACCCTGCTTATCTCTGACTGGGCCATCACAGATGGCACTTAGTGAACGCCAACATTAGCAGCAACACACACACACGATGTTTGCTGCATCTCTCGTTCTCTTTTAGACACACGCACACACACACTTAGAATGACAAAGCACAAAACCACATGGTGAGGCATTGCATATCTCACACATGCATACCCACCACCACAACCTAACCAATACACACACAAAGAGGCAAACAAATGCAGATCCAACCTCTTATTTCTCAACTGGGTGCAGCACGTGTCACATACGCCTTATGTATTTGTGCGTGAGAATGCCGGTAAACAATCTGTATGCCTCTGTGTTTAGTAGGGCTGCTCAATTAATCGTATTTTAAACGCGATCACGGCTTGCAACGATTACAAAAACAACGTAATCGAAATAAAACGATTATTTTCTTATTATTATTACTTTTTTCTTTTTTTTTAAATAATAATCTTCTTTTTTTTTTCTGTTGAATTATATTTAAAGTTTAGGGTAATCAACTGTTAAAAACAGTTCCATTTTTTTTTCTCCAATAAATGGATGTTTTCAAAGTCAAAGAATAATCGCATTTAATAATCGCAATTACAATTATTGACCCAAATAATCGAGATTATGATTTTTGCCATAATCGAGCAGCCCTAGTGTTTAATATTATTTGCAGATTATTCCCAAAATGTGTTGTAGTCCACAAGGAGAACAGGATGGGGTTTGCACTCCAGAGCATGAAACAAGCTATTTTCACAGATGTAAGTAAGTCAGAGTAAGACTCTGTGATTGACACCTAGCCTCTCTTATCCTGATCTGATGACTCCCATCTGCTGCTCAAAGTGCACCAACACCAACACCAGGATCTCATTTGCAGCCACGGTTCAAAGCAGTATGTGGGTTTCCTCACCTTCTGTGCTGAGGCCTGGGCTGGAGGTGAAGCTGGCCACATCCACGATCTTTACAGCAAACTGCTGGCCCGTGTCCCTGTTGATGCAGCGCCTCACCACGCTGAAGGGACCCCTGCAACACAGACACATGGAGCGTTAATGATTGAAGACAGAAAACCACCGTGCCTTTCTCATGTTCAAACACAAGAATAAGTTCACTTAAAGAGGCCCTACTCTGCTTGGTGAGGTCTTTACTTACCTGTCAATTTGTTTTATAGGTTTGTGTGCATGTAAATTGTCTGTAAAAGGCTAAAATGCCAAAGTTCCCTCCAGAGGCAGTTTCTCTCCCATGGTTTCAGACAGAGGGGGGCTGCAGCACAGGCAGTATGAGACAGTCACAGTAGAGGCAAAGCATACAAATATCAACCTGAAAATGAGCATAATGTGCACAACAGCACAGCAGCTTAGGGCAGACATGGTTCCTACTCTGAAAATATTCTGGATTTACAGTGGGTGGTTAGCTAGGCATGCTCGTGCCAGTGGGAATTATAGAGCAGTGTTGTGCAGCACAGCTGTAAAAGCTAAAATAAAAGCTTTATTATAGGAGACCTGAGCAAGGAGACCTATCCAACAGAGGTTATTTCTGAACAAAATGTAGAAGCATATCTTGAAAGGGCTGTGTTTCCTGCTATAGCTGCAATGGGGCTGACACATTACATGTTTTCCCTTTCCGTGTCCAACAGTAATTGTCAAGATTTTGCATTAAAACATTGTGGCTCTGCCAGTGACTTTTACGACCCTGGAGAGACCTTCTCCGAGTATAACAGTCCTTATCCCAACTTAGTGTTATTTCTCACACACACATGCAGGTCAAATCCATGCAGAAACTATAATAGCTTTTTTTTTTTTTACACTCACAGATGCTTATAATAATAATAATAATAATAATAATAGATTTAATTTGTTAGAAAGAAAGAAAAGAGAAGAAAGGAACAACAAATAAATATATAGTTAAAGTTAAAGTCAAATAATACAAAAACAATCACACATGAAAAGCCAGATTGAAGAGGTGAGTTTTTGTGAGTTTTTTGAAGGTGGTGAGGTCGGTGCAGTCTCTGATACGGTGTGAAAAACCGGACGATACCACAAAAACAATACGAGACACCAGAGGCTCGTAAACCCCAAAGAAAGGCCCCGGAGACTCTAGCCTCCCTGAAATCCTCTACATCTCTGCGTTCGACATTACAAATTGATTGCCGTCCTCGACACACACACCACACACACCACACCAATACACACACCACCACACACACACACACAACACAACACACCCACACACACACACACCACAACACGAACACACACACACACACACACGACCACACGACACAGAACACACACAACACACACGACACACGACACCACACGACACCCACAGCGACCACACACACACACCAACGACACACACCACCACGACACCACACATACACACAACACCACGACATTGAGAAGTCTACCGATCCCCCTTGTTTTACACGGTTTACAGAGTCGGAAGTCACGGACAAGGGCGGGTGAAACAATGACCTAAATTAGATTACGGGGAACCGTATTACTCTTTTCTCTAAATAGTATTAGTAATACAGTTTATAAGTATTAGTAATAGTATAGTAATCGAAAGGAGACCCTTGAGTGGAG